AAGGACTATCTTTGTTTTGTCCAAAGGTAAGCATATGAGACTTAAACAGCTATGAAAAATTAATTTCTATTACGATAGAATATTTTACTTAAATCGACTGGGGCCATTTCAAAGTGGGTGGACTTTTTTTTTTTTTTTTTTCTTTCCCCAATTCGTTGTTTGTTTGTTTTTTACTGATGGAGATGTTGGACCCTGCCCCACGCCCTACCTCTCCGTCTGTCCTGACCACACCTGTTTGTGTCCTGCGTGCCCCATCCCTCCCCACCCCTGCTTGTCCCCTTCCCTGTAGGTGAACCCCAGGTCCTCCAATCCCCCACTCTATCACGTGTTTAAACTTAATGGTTTCAGATGTAAACATGTGTTGCCGTAGCTCTGTAAATTTTTTTGTGGGGGGGTGGGCAGGGAGGGGTTAGGGGGTCGAGTTTTTTGTTTTGTTTTGTTTTTTTCCTTTTTTCCAAGAAAAAGAAGAGAAAAAAGGGGCGGGTCTGTTTTCCAAGCGCTGTCTTGGATTCCTATTTAAACGTGTGTTTTGTTTTTAAGCGATTTTTAAATAACTTCTGTGCCTCCGCGGGTCAGAGGGCAGAGGCCTGGGCAGGAATGGGCTGCCCCCCCCACACTCTGCCCTCACCAGGGCCCCCCCCCCAAGAAAGCATTACCTGCCCTCGGGGGTTGGGCTGTGGGGGGTCCCGGCACCTTGCGTGAGTTTCCACTATGAAAATATGAAATTGAGAAAGAAAAAAAAACCTTAACACAAACACCGTGACTTCAAGTAATAAACAGAAAATGAAACGAGTGCATGTTTGGCCTGTTTTCTGGAGGTGCCCGAGGGAAGGGTCACTGGGCCTATTGGGCCATGGGGACACTTGCCTGTAGGGGTAAGTGGGCCTTGTCTGAGTGGGTGTGCTCTTACCTGGTTCCAAGTGGTAGTGGGGTGGGGGGAGGCCTTGCCTGTGAAGGGAGACTAGGGTGGGGTGTATGAGGCTTTCCCACCTGTGGATTTTCTGGGTGGTCTTACACATTTTGAGGAGCCTGGTGACTTGGCCTGGGGTGAAAGGAAGGGATGTTTGCCACCTTGGAGTGGGGGATGGGAAGTGGGGCCCAAGGCACCCAGTGGAGAGGTGAGGTGTCCCAGAGTGGTTCCCACGCCCCCTCAGCCTGGGGGGGGCAGGAAGCCACTGGGGGAGGAGGGAGGAGCAAGCCACTTCCCGGTGCTGGAGGAAGGCCCAGAGGGCGTGGGGGCACTGGCCTGCCCACTGCTGCATGCCCTGGCTGGCCCCTAGCCCTCTGCCCCTAACTTCAGAACCTGGGTCCGTGAAATGGGCTGAGGGGACAATGAGAACTTGACGTGAAAGGAAAGAGACCCAGCTGCCTGCCCTGGGCCTCAGTTGCCCCACCACAGGGACTTGGTGGAGGTTCTTGCCTGTTCTTCCTGGAGTCTTACTTCTGTCTAGCTTGCTGCAGTGAGCTCATAGGGCAAGCTTCATGAGCTATGGGTAGGTGGTCTCTCAACGCCACCTCCTACCCCAGTCCCCGTCAAGCAGGCACTTAAGCCTGCACCATGGGCTGGTGTTCAAGGCCTCCTGGTGCGACCCAGCCTGGGTGACCTCCCCTGGTCTCTCTTCAGCCACGCCCTGGCCTTGCATACATACCATTGCTCCCTGGCCCTAACCATCAGCATCCCACCTCCAGGCCTTTGCCCAGGCTGTGCCCTATGCTGGGAACACCCCTCCAGGCTGGCGGCTGGCTCTGTCTGGGAACTTCCCTGGTCAGCACCTCCCAGCCCCACTGGCACTGAGCCCCACCCCATCCCTCTGCCCCACACCCTCCTGCTGGACCAAGGCACCCTGCTCTTCCTCTGCCTGCCCCCAGCCTGGGGCTCCCCAGGGCCTCTGTGGGGCCCCAGCTTCAACCACCTCGGAGCTGGGCAGAGTCCTGGTTCAGCCAACATCATTCAAAAAAAAAAAACCTCATTGCCACAGAGTTGATTCCAACTCATAGCAACCTCCATTGGATTTCTGAAGCAGTAAATTTGTTCTAAATACGCCTTATTGGTGGGATTATGTGTGACACAAGGAGCCCTGGTGGCGCAGCGGCTAAGCACTCAGCAGCTACCCAAAAGGTTGGCGGTTTGAACCTACCCAGCAGCTCTGTGGCAGAAAGCCCCGGCATTTGTTGTAAAGATACAGTCTAGGAAGCCCTGTGGGGCAGTTCTCCATCACGCAAGGATGCTATGAGTTAGAATGGACTCTGTGGTTGTTGCTGGGCGCGCCCACCCAGCACCCACAGCGGGAAGATTGAGGCCAGGTGAGGCTGACCCTTCCAGATCTCAGACTCCCTCAGGGGGCAAGAACGGCCCCAAGGACTCAGGCCGGGCCACAGGCAGAGCTGCAGGTCGGAGGGCTCAGGTGGAACCTCCAGTCAGGTGGCTATGATCCAGGGTCAGCAGCGTGTGGCCCAGGTCATGGTGACTGGCCCAGGGCTGGGGGGGCAGGGCGGGGTTAGAGATTGCTGAAGAAGGAGGATGTTGGCCAGGAGGTGAGGCTGAATCACAGGGCTTGGTTTCTAG